TGGCCAGGCGGCACGCAGCCCTGGTCTCAGCTGTCTCCACAGGGGCTCCGTGGTCTTGCTCTGACCTCTCTGGAAAGGGTGGTGATGGAGACTCCTCTGCTTCTCTCCCCATTGGCTGCGTCTGAGCTCCCTGGCTTGGAACAGGACCTGCAACTCCACCACATCATCAGAGTCCCAGCACAAGGAAGCAGGAGACCTAAATACGCCTGAGGGCACAAATCTAGGATGCTCAGACTCTGAGTCCTGTGGTTTCCATATTTCTGTTTCCAGTTACCACGACCAGAATCTCTGTCCTGAGATGGTGTGCTGAGTGCTTACAAGGGTGTTCACTTGTTGAACAAGCATAGCAGCATCCATCATGGAAGCCAGTTTATCTGTTGATATGGGAACTGCCAGTCAAAGTACAGCATGATGGTGTCTGCACTTGTGTGTTTATTGCTGCACTGGTCACGCAGCCACGATGTGGAGTCTACCCAACAGTCCTGCAACTGGTGACAGGATAAAGACAGTGTGGGACAAATACACAATGGGATAAAGACGAACTGCTGCCTGATCAACCTGGAGTGTGTTATGTGAACTGCCAGACACAGCAAGACAAATTCCACATGTTCCCTCTATGTGTCAAAGCTACCAAGTTTATCTCACAGAGTGGGAGAGTGGAACTTGGTTACCAGAGCCTGGGAAAGGTGAGTGTGAGGGAGACAAGGAGTGAGGAGGTTAACTAGTACAGGGCTGTCGTTGGATAGGAAGAATAACCTCTCATGTTCTATAGCACACAGGGTAACTCTGGTTAGCAACAACTAATTGTATATTTAAAATAACTAATAGGATTTTCAGTCTTTCCAAGGTGAAGATTTGATAAATCTCTGATGATTACATGCCAATTTCCCTGATCTGATTGTCAGCATCACAAATGTGTAGGGAAATGTCACTCTTCACCCTCAAATATGAAATTCTGGAAATAGTGCATAGAAGACTGAAATAAATGACAAAGATTTTAAAAACTAAAATTCATTTCTGAATGTAGCCTCCTGCACTCAAGACGCTTTGTCAACAATGATACCAGCTATGTAGTCCATCCCTGATGCACTGAGATCCTGAGAACTGGGCCATGCCATGTGGTCTCTTGTCTGTTATCAACTTAAGAAAACCATCCCTTCACAGGTTTTTAAGATTAGGAAGCAAAAAAAAAGACAAAAGAAGCCAGATATAACTCAAGGTGAATACCTAATGATGTCACATTGAAACTCTTTCTTTTTTCATTTGAGTTAGAGAGAGAGAGAGAGGGAAGCAGTTAGAGAGAGAGAGAGAGAGAGAGAGAGAGAGAAAGAGAGATCTTCTATCTGCTGGTTCACTCCCAGATGGCTGCAAAGACTAGGGCTGGAATAGGATGATGCCAGGAGTTAGGACCTTATTGGTCTCCCACGTGGGTGCAGAGTGCTCAAGGCCTTGGGCTATCCTCTGCTGCCTCCCCAGGCTTATAATCAGGGAGCTGTAACAGAAATGGGGCGGCCAAGCCTGGAACATATGCTGATGCGATGTAACATTGCAGTCAGTGGCTTTACCTACTGTGCCACAACGCCGGCACAGAAACTGTTGCATAATTGCCATTGTTTGGTGAAAGAAATGAGCAGGACCATTGTGGTGTTGGGGAAGGATTCTCTGGTGAATACTCACTGCGCATTTTCTGAGAAAGATATGGCTGACTTTCTCAAACTCTCCCCTAATAAGATGATATTCTCTGATCCTTCACAAAGACAACAAGCAAAAGGACTGGAGCATTTCCAAAACTATTTCCTTAAAATGTATTGAATTATTTGAAGATGGAGAAAGACAGAGATCTACCATCCACTGGTTAATCCTCAAGAACTTCAATAGTCAGGGATGGGCTGGGCCAAAGCCAAGAGCTTACATCTCAAGCTGAGTCTGTCATGAGGGTTCCAGGCATTCAACTACTCAAACCATCACCTGCTGCCTCCCAGAGTGAGCACTGGGAGGAGGCTGGATTGGAAGCAGGCTGAGACTCCAACCTAGGACTTCGGTAGGGAAGCAGGCATCCCAAGCAGCTGCTTGACTGCTGCACAAACACATGCTACATACTTTTACTTTGACAGGACCACTTCATTCATTGAAAGCCATGGCTCCAATCCAGGGTCATCCTGGTGAAACCATGCTGCACCTCCTGGTACAAGTCTTGGAGCTGCTTCAGGACCTCCAACTCGCTCGTTTGAAATCCCCTGGGAAACCCTGCTTTTGTCTGCAGCACATCTGGGGGCAGCAGGTTTGGTTCCCACTGAGCAGAACGTTTGTTCCTAGGTGGTTTTGCAGTCAGAACTGTGGAAGTGCATCCGTTGAGGGATCCATGCTGTGGGCTGTTGTCTCCGCTGTTGGTCATCCGTTCTCTTCAGTTAGGTGGTGAACATGATTATTCTTTCTTTGAAAGTTGAGTAGATGTTCCTTCGCTGCTTGTCTTCAGCATTGTCTCACCCCTTCTTACAGAAGTCGTCCATCTGATAACTGCTGCTTTCTCTGGGACACTGTCCCCGTGGGGTGTTTCTGAGTGCCGATGATTTTACCATTCTTCCACTCATTGCACCACAGAGTTGATGTTTGCTTGCTTCAGTTTCGGCTGAATTCATGGCTTGCTCTGATAAAACTTTTCAAACTGGTGTTTAGACCCTCGGAGTGAGGATGCTAACACGTCGAGAGGCACACGCCAAAGACTCAGACTCCAGACCAGCTGATGCAAAAGCAAGAGGATTTACTCGGCATCTGTGCAGACGGGCCTCCTGAACTCGGGAATCCAGAGAGCGCCCCCAGCACAAAGCCACACGGTTTAAATATCCGCAGCGACCAATCAAAGCACTATAGAGTCCATGCACACAGCAGTCCAATCTGTTAGCTGATCATGTTAAGGGCATGTGTCCTCTATCCAGTCAGCTACGGGATCACACGGGAGGCATGCACCTCGTCGCCATTTTGTTGTTTACTTCTTTAGCAGTTCCTTTCCCTGCCAGCGCCATCTTGTTCACCCTGGGGTGGGGGGGTGGCGACTTTTCGCTCCCTTTGTTCCCCTTGTGGGAGAGCAGCGTCCCGCTTCCCACACCGTTATTTGAGTATTAGGAGGCACACAAATTGGGTTAGGTCTTAGCACAGCCAGGGACAAGTGTCCCAGGTAGCTAAGCATAGGGTCCCTTATTTTATTTTTTTTTTTTTTGACAGGCAGAGTGGACAGTGAGAGAGAGAGACAGAGAGAAAGGTCTTCCTTTGCCATTGGTTCACCCTCCAATGGCCGCCGCGGCCAGCACGCTGCGGCCAGCGCACCGCGCTGATCCGATGGTAGGAGCCAAGAGCCAGGTGCTTTTCCTGGTCTCCCATGGGGTGCAGGGCCCAAGCACCTGGGCCATCCTCCACTGCACTCCCTGGCCACAGCAGAGGGCTGGCCTGGAAGAGGGGCAACCGGGACAGAATCCGGCGCCCCGACCGGGACTAGAACCCGGTGTGCCGGCGCCGCTAGGCGGAGGATTAGCCTAGTGAGCCGCGGCGCCGGCCCAGGGTCCCTTATTTTTATAGCTGCACCTAATTTTAGCTTTGGGGGAAAAAGTTTAGGGCTATAATTTTAACTTTAATTTTTTATTTTGGGCAAAGGTAATGTCTTGTTTTTAATAGTGTTAGCTTAAGTCACTCCATCTTGGTTTGATTTTTAAGGTTCTTCAGTGTCTTATCATTATTATTGCCTCAAGTTAGATTTTTTTGAGTCACGTTATAATTCAAGATTCAAATTTATGTTGGTTAAAATTTTTTTGAACGTCTGGTGTAATTTTTGTAGTACTAACTCCAGGAATATTTTTGAAGACCCATAATAGGGTACAATTTCTACATATCAGTTTGTAAATGTGCGTGATACAGTCAAATCCATAAAGCAAGAAACTTGAATGGTGGTTTCTGGGCTGGAGGTAGGGTATATGAAATGTTGCTCAGTGGGTATAAAATCTCAGTCACACATGAAGGAAAAGTCTAAGAGCTGTGTGAGTACAACAATGTGAGTGCAGTGACCAGACTGTACACTTTTAAACATTGGGGAAAGGGATGGTGCCATGTCACATATTTTGATTACCATGATAAAAATTAAAAACTATCTTGGCATGATGTTGATTGTGAATTAGTATAAAGTCTACACGTATAATCTGAGAGTGAAGCTCTTTATTGAAGTTTGGGATTGGAAAACAAGGGGGAAAAGGAAGATACCTAAGATTTATATTTTATATTATTTATATACATGATACATATTTCCACTTGGAAAAACAGGAAGAAGATAACATGGCTACATGGTATTACAAATTCTAATTTTGGAGATGGTATAATTAAAAGGAGAAGAGATACTCAGTTTCCATTCTGGAGCTCATACTAAAACTGCCCTGAGAACACTCTATAGCACTTAGAGACTAAGCTGTGGATTTATTTAGCAACCTGTGGTGCAGCAGACAGTTCTTGGACTCATGCATTGGAGACGTAGCCTGGAGACACTTGCAAAACTTGTGGACTCTCGAAGTTCCCCACTCTCAATCAAGAGGTCTTGGGAATGCCACAGATCAACACCAGACTAATGCTCTCCCACCACTAAGAATATGAAAACAAAACACAATAAAATAGTGAGCACAAAAATGAACCATTTGAAATACACACACCAAAGGTGGGATGTTCCAGTTGGAAATCCTCCAGTGTTTCACACCGACATTTCAATGACAGGACACAGCAGAACAGGAGTGATAGTTGAATGAAAACAGAAACTCAGGGATTCCATGTGAGACCTCAATACCCAGTAAGCAGTGGAGCTGTCTGGATATTGATCCATGCACCGATGTTATAAAAAGGTGCCCCACAAATACACAAATGAACGCTTTGAGGTCATGGGATTGACAGAGGAAGTGATGTCACCACGTTTGTGGTGTTTGAGAACAAGGGACGCCACTCCTCCTCCTCTCACCTGCCCACAGGACTGCTCTGCAGGAAGCTCCCATCCCGCCCCGACGGCCATGGGCACCAGGCTGCTCTGCTGGGCAGTGCTCTGTCTCCTGGGGGCAGGTGAGTCCTCAGACACCATGCACTGCATCGTGGCTGTGGTGTGCACATGTGTGTGTGCGTGTGTTCATGTGTGTTCATGTGTGTCAGTGAGGACTACAGCTTTTTCCAACTGTGTTCCCAACTTCTGTCTCCACAGAACACACGGATGCTGGAGTCTCCCAGTCCCCCAGGCACAGGGTCACAGGGAGGGGACAGAATGTCACTCTCACGTGTGACCCAGAGTCTGGTCACTATACCCTTTACTGGTACCGACAGAGCCAAGGGCAAGGCCTGCAGTTGATGATGTACTTCCAAGGTAAAGATCCAGCAGATGAGTCAGGGCTGCCTGGTGCCCACTTCTCCGCTGAGAGGCCTGGGGGATCTTCCTCCACCCTGAAGATCCAGCCTGCACAGCCCGGGGACTCAGCCGTGTACCTCTGTGCCAGCAGCTTAGACACAGTGTGATGCCGCCACCTCCCACCTGCTCACAAACCTCATCCTCTGTCTCTGGGCAGCTCTAAAAGACCCTAAGTAGGGGGTGTTTTGATTTTCATGGCTCAAAGGACAGAAGCTAATTTAGGGGCTGGTGCTGCAGCACAACAGGTAAAGCTACTGCCTGCACTGCTGGCATCTCATATGCACACTGGCTCAAGTCCTAGTTGCTTGTATCCAGCTGTCTGCTCTGACCTGGGAGAGCAGTAGAAGATGGCCAAGTGCTTGGGTGCCTGCACCTGCGTTTGAAGACCCAGAGGAATATCCTGGCACCTGGCATCAGATTGGTGCATCTCCAGCCATTTCGACCAACTGGGGAGTGAACCAGTAGATAGAAGACCTCTTTCTCCCTCTCTCTCTCTCTTTCTCTCTCTCTCTCTGCCTCTGCTTCTCTCTCTGTGTAACTCTAACTTTCAATAATTAAATAAATCTTTAATAGAAAAAAATAGGAAACAAGTAGATTTGCAGCCCTGCCATCCTTTCTCAGGAGGTGACCATGAGGAACTCCTGCCACACTGGCTGGTACCTCCAGGCAAAACACTCAGCCTTCTGGTGGAATTTCAATTGTGTCATCCTGAATCACTCCAGGGTCAGTAGCACTGTGTCACCCAGGGGGAATAGAGGGGAAATCTCTGTCCTTGGAATGTCAGCGACTCCTCCTGACCTTTTCTCCAGTGTTTGCCGTCTTTATCCACCTGCTCTCTGGTCACAGAAGCAGCACAAGTCCTGGTACTCACGTTTGAACAGGACACAGAGAGCGTGGTGGTCACTGCTCGTCCTAAAATATTTGCAGCAGATTGGCTGTGGGCTGTGTCTTCCCAAGGCACTGTGGAATACTTTAGAGCCTTGGCTTTGTTCTCTGTCACTCTACAGTCTCACCCTCAGTCTTACTTACAAGTGCATTTTCCTCCAGCTTGCAACACCTGAGAAGGTTTTGTGATTTCATTACGTCCACAAGTCACCTCAACTGCGTAGCTCTTCTCCCCAGATACAACCTGTGGACTCAGAAGTGCTAGCAGTAATTGACCAGCTCTTAGAAGTAGGTGCCTTACACATCCTACCACGAAAGCAATGGGATTCATTGTCCACCCTCAATTTCTCTCTGAATGAAATGAAAGGTGCAGCATGTGAAAAGCAGGTGACCAGACCGAGAGGGAGGGTGGTGTCAGTTGCGCTGGACTTCTGAAGGAAGCAGAGGTGACATTGTGTTTGAGACGGTGCTTGACACACAGGGAGCAGCAGGCTGGTGCATGGGATTTGAGGAAGAGCAAACAGCAGGGCAGAGCCCAACTCACTGTGGGAAGAGAGACGCAGCTCTGGTCTTGGAGTTGGAAAGCTGTTCTTCTGGGCCAGGAGATAGTGAGTTTGAAGACCCAGCTGCAGTAGTGTGATTATGGAATTAATTTATGTTGGCATGTGGGTCCCCAGCCCCAGGACCTTTGTAGGAGAAACAGGGATGAACCTCACCTCTTGGTCACAAGATGGCGCTTCAATGCCAGTGGAACTGAGGTATTCAGGCAGAGTCTGGGATGGGAAGGGTTAAGGAAACCATCAGCTTGATCCACTATTTCCAGGGTTGAAATTTTCAGTTACAGCTAAACCACTACCACAAAGCAACACTTGAGGAGGGCTCTAGGCTGAAGGAGATCCACAGCTGAGCAGTCTGACCAGGCACACTGGGTGAGAGGAGCAGAACAACTGCCTTCTAAACACATGGGAAACAAAGAGGTGGGTGAGCCCTGGAGTGAGAGCATCCCTGGTGCCCTCCATCCCCCTGCAGGTCCTGCTGGGGGAGGACCTCACAGCCCCACCCCTCTGTCCATTGGAGAGGAGCCTGAGAGCTCTCTCAGTCCTGAGATCACAGCTTCAGCAGGGAAGGCTCCTTGCTGCCCTGACCCTGCCTGAGTCCAGCACGTTTCTCCTGGGTGATCCTTGGTTTATGGGAGCAGGTGCGGTGCTGTCTCTACTGAGAAATCCTGTGAATGTTTGCAAGTCCTGGCTGCAAGCCTATCCTTTCTCTGCAGTCACACCACCTCTCCAGCCTTGAGGTCACCTAATGACTGCCTCTCCTACAGGTCTCACAGATGCTGGATTCCCCAGACACCAAGAAAGGAAATCACTACACACAGGAAGAAAGATGACCCAGCGGGGTTCTCAGTGCATGAACACTAGTCCATGTTCTGGTACCAATACCGATCCATTATACAGTACAGTATTGGTAGTAGTGCCAAAGAGGATGCCACAGAAGGGTACAGGGTCCCCAGAAATAAGAGGGAGCATTTCCCTCGGATTATGGAATTGGCCAGCACCCACCAGACCTCCCTGTGCCGCTGGGCAGCAGTGAGTCCAAGGCACTGCACAGCAGGCTGCTCCCTCCCAAGCACACAGCCATGGACTTGAGCTGGACTCTCCTGCCCGAGGCTACGTCTCCACCAGCAGAGAAATCTGCCCTTCCTGAGGCTCTCCCCACACTTCCCCCACAGGATCTCAGTCGGAAGGACCTGGGGCAGCAGGACCCGTAGTGTGAACTGAGGTCCAACACTGCTACCACGTGGAAATGTGGTCAGCACTGAAGGTTACTCTGCTCAGTGTGTGTCAAGCTGACACCAGGAGCCTGGAACTCCTTCCGAGTTTCCACAAAGGTGTCAAGTGCTGCTCTGAGCTCCCACCCCTAGATGGGAGTCCTTGATCATTAAATTTCTGGGTCTGCCTTCTCCCAGCATGCCTTGCTGTTCACGTTTTAACCGTGCCTTCTTAGGACATGAAATTTAAATAAAATTCTTTTCCTTTCATGAAGTATAGTTTATAAATATTGTCTTTAATGGCTAATGCCAATTTTAGGAAAACATGCCCATACCCCATATATCAATCAATCATTCCTCTATTTACTTCATCTACTGTTCCACACTCATACTCCCTTCTCTTCTTCTTACGGCTGACATGCTCCATGTCTGATATCACAGTGTAAGCATCCCTCCATTGGCCAGAGCATCTGACCCCATCACACCTGTTCTTTGCCACTGTGCAGCCTCCTATAAAAGGCAACTACGCTTCTCTATCTTTTATAGAATAGAAATGGGAAAAACAGGGGGTCAGAGGGTGTGCACTGAATAGGGCGTCCAGAGGGAGCATCGCATGTCCACCACGTGTGTGAAGCAAGTGCCCGCTGCTGGAGTCTCGGGGCGGATGCAGAGTGACTCCTCAGAGGACGCTGCACGGGTCCTGCCTCCCCAGCCACACTGCATTTTCCTATTGCATGTTTCTCAGAGCTTCTGATGACTCCACAATGCTAACCACACAGTGTTAGAAGTCTGTCATTGCTAATTGCAGAATGGTAGAAATGTGTTAGTTCTGATGAGAATGTTAGAGTTTGTGGGTTTTTTAGAGGCAAATTGCATGACAGAAGCTCATTTTCCCCTTGTGAAGTCTATGAGGATTCCGGTAGAGTTGAGAAGGGAGAATGATGACACTGAAATATGAAGGGTTAAGGAACTACGAAAGTGGGTAGTTCTTTGCAATGAGGTGCAGTGGACGTGGGTCCCTGCAGGGATGTGGGTCCCCAAGAGGACTTCGAAAGAAGGCTGAGTACTTGGTGCTGTGTCTCTGGTGAAGATAAGCAGCTGTGACATGCATGCCATTAGGAAGGGGTCTGGGGCATGGATACTGAGAACCAGGGCAGTCTACCTCAACATGCTCTCCTGCCCTTGCCCACCATAAGCTGAGTTCACTGGGGAGGGAGAGGAAGAGGAGGCCGTTAATGTGATCCCCTGGGGCAGCCCCTGCAGGCAGGGTGATCTGGAGGGATAAACGTGACCTACCCAGGGCACTGCATCCCACAGTGGCTCACTCTGTGCTGCGAGCAGACCAGAGTGTGTAACTGTGTCTGAGGAATCTTTCCCCTCATAAGTTACAGACAGCCCGGGCTCCTCCTCCAGCTCAGATGGGCTCTGTGTTGGTGACTTTGTATCACTGGGTGTTCAGGGAGAGGAGGGGAATGCAGGGAGAGGAAGACAGAGAAACCTTGGTGTGAGCCCAGCATCAGGCAAAGCCCACACAGGGATTTGATCACAGGCTCTTTGTACTCCTCTGAGGAGCAGCTGAGTGAGCTCCAGCAGACAGCATTGCAAGCAGCAGGTGGGAGGGGCTGGGCAGAGGGAGATGCGGCTTCCTGAGCAGCAACTGCCTCATCAGAGCAGCATCTGCTTATGCCAGAGCTCCTGTGTGCAGCCTGCAGGGCACTGGACTCAGGAGGTTTGGAGGAGGACGGCGTCAGGACAGTGACATCACAGGAGGGTGCCCAGTCAGGAAGAGGCAGACTAAGACCAGCTCTTACACGAGAGGGTGACTCATAAGCACAGGAAACATCGCTGCCTCCCTCCTCTACTGCACCATGGGCTCCAGGCTGCTCCCCTGGGCAGTGCTTTGTCTCCTGAGAGCAGGTGAGCCCTGGGGACAAGGAGGGTGCCCCCTCTCTGAGCTCCCCGACTCCTCAATACTCCTCCTCCCTTGGGCTTACACACCAAGACTCTCTCCAGTGCTCTCTCCATCTGCTTTTCCCACAGGCCCAGTGGAGGCAGGAGTCACACAGACCCCAAGACACCTGATCCAAACAAGAGGGCAGCAAGTGTCGCTGAGATGTACCCCTGACTCTGGACACGACCGTGTGGTGTGGTACCAACAGGTCCTGGGCCAGGGCCTCCAGTTCCTCTTTGATTATTACAATGAGATACAGAGGTCAAAAGGAAATGTCTCTGGCAGGTTCTCAGCTCACCAGTTTTCTGACTTTAGCTCTGAAATGAACGTGAGCGCCTTGGAGCTGCAGGACTCGGCTGTGTACCTCTGTGCCAGCAGCTTGGCACAGCCCCGCGGAGTCCCCAGTGCTCTGTGCACAAACCTCCTCTCCCAGTGTGGAGCAGCCTCAGCTGACACAGCTGTGAGACAAGCCACGCAGGGGCAAGAAAACTGGTTTCTAT